GGTTGTGTTTGGGTGACAGTGACTATGTTGGAGGCGGGAGTTATGTTAGATGTAGTGGAGGCTGTGGGTATTTTTGGTGGTGTTGAGATGTTGGTGGAGACGGGTCTCCTGAGGTGGTGGTGGATTGGTGCGACGACGTGGTGGTGTTTTTTGGGATGTGTTGATTTTTTTAAGGTGGTGGTGTTACTGTTGCGAGGTGGTGGTTCTGACGGTGATGGTGGCAGTGGTGCTGTTGGTGGTAGTGGTGAGGTTATAGTCACAACTGTTGGTGGTGGTCACAGATTATTTGGTCATCTCATTTGTGACCATTAAACTAATTAATTTGTTATCGATAGACAATATTTGATCAATGAAAAATATAAATTGTGACAAAAAATAATGTGTGACTAAAAAAATTGTTAATTTGATAATTTGTGACTGCCTACTCATTTGTGATTTATAATGTTTGTGATTTGTGACCGATGAATAAGTTATGACGTTTCAATTTTTTTATTGTGATCGATGAGCAAATTGTGACCTATAAAATTTCTGATTTGTAATCGATAAATAAATTATGACCTATAAAATTCTGAATTGTGACCGTAAAATAATTTGACTTGTAAAATTTTTGATTTGTGACCGATGAACAAATTGTGACTTATAAATTTTTTGAATTGTGACCGTAAAATAATTTGTGACATTTTGATTTGTGATCGAGAAATAAGTTGCGACCAATAATTTGATAATACGTGACTAATGAAATAAATCGTGACATATAAAATTTTTGATTTGTGACCTCGAACAAATTTGTGACCTACAAAATTTTTGATTTGTGATCTCGAAATAATTTGTGGCTTACAAAAATTTTGATCCGTGACCGATAAACAAATTGTGACCTATAAGATTTTTGAGCTGTGACCGTAAAATAATTTGTGACGTAAAAAATTATGATTTATGATCGAAATATAATATGTGACTAACTAAATTGTGAATCTGTGATCATATTATATAAATCTGTAACGGTCACTAGAACAATCGTCGGAATCGGAGCAATCACCGGAACAGTAGCTGGAATAGTCATCGGAAAAATTAGCCGGAACGATCGTCGGAAAGTCACCTGAACGATTGCTGGAGAAGTCATCGGAGAAGAGTGGTGGTCGGAACGTTTGCCAGAATAATCCCCGGAGCCGTAGGGGTGGTGGAGGTGGGGTAGATTAATTATATTATATTAGAATTAAATATTTAATAAATTTATTTAATAATTTATTAATTCATAAATAAAAATTTTAAAAAAAATCTGATTTTTGAAATTTGAAACTATTTTTCTTATTTTTGAAATAGCACATACTTAACATCTTAAAAATGAAATTTTCCCTTCTTTCAACTGTCAATTCCTGATTGGACTTTGAATGCTAGGCTTGTCGTACACTTTTTTTTTCATTTCGATCTATTTTCATCTTAATCTACCATACAAATTCCTCAAAATATCCCAAATTCCAAGCTCTCTCTTTCCCCCATGTAAGATAATTCAATATCGGTGTGATCAAGGGTTTGATCTTGGACTCCCACAACTCATATTCTCTTCAATAAGGAGCATTGAATATCTTTAAGGAAACGGAGAGGTCGGAAGCATAAAAATACACAATTTCACACAAGGATAGCATGAGCCCTAAGAAGTTATTTTTTTACGGTAATGGTCACTAAAGTTTCTCACAGTTACATTAATGATCAATTGGTCACTAATATGAACGTTAAAAATATGGTACGATCATTATCCGAAACCCACTATTTAGTCTTATTCATGCAAAATATATATGACGTTGATCGACCCAAATTTCTCAAGTGTTTGGATGCTTTTGTTACAAATGAATCATCACATCTCGACTTTTTGAGAAGCATAACATACGAAGAGAAAACCCGGAAAATTTATTTTAATCTGAATTCTAATATATATGCAGGCAGCCAATACAAGCACCGTGTGGACAGGATCGACGAAGCGCTGATCTAGAAAAAATTCCTTGCAATGTCAAAATTGGTCCCACTGCCGAAGGAGGATCCGTCTGCAGAAGCAAAACCACAAACTACAGCAAAGGACTAAAGGAAATTGCAGAAGAGATGATCAAGGGAGGGAAAGAAAGGTCATACGCCTCTTTCAAGGCTACTGAGAGTTACCTCCATGCAAATCCCCATGCGTACAACTAAGTTCTGGCATTGGACTTAATAATATTTCAGACTGTACAAGAAAAAAAACATAAGCTATATATGGAATAAACTTTAAAATATTATCCTTCACCATTTATAATATAGCCTATTGTCACCGGTGACAGTTTTTGTTCAAAAATTCAGTTAGCACGATTTAAAATAGGGACAATGATATATGTATCAAGACTTACATAATGTCACATGACACCGTATTATTTGTCAGTTTAAAACACAACCAACCCTTTCATCTAATATTTTCCCTGCACATCATTTCGATCACTTCTTCTTACTGTTTTTTCTTCACAAACAGCAAAATCCTTAAAATAAGGGCAAATCTTTAATTATACTTTTGTATTTAATATTTTTACTATTTAAAATACAGTAGACAATTAAGGTTTTTTTTTTATTTATTAAAATGTCATTTTGACGAAATTTTTGGATTGTAACCATTATCAAAGATAAGACGTGCTAATTAGTAAAAAGTTAATGATAAAATTACGATGAAAAAATTAGATACGTGTGTATGAAAATAACTAAACGATAAGAATCTTTGTTGAAATTAAAATGTTGTGTACATATATAAGAAAATTGATGTTATTCATCACCACTGATATCAAACACCAGTTTAGGTAGCATATGCATGATATTGAATTATAGATTCACTTAGATGTATTGTCATATGATTCATATCATTGAATCTATCAAAAATGTTCACCTAAACTGTGCTTTAGTACCATTGATGTTATATAACATTATTCGAAATCTAATTTCAATACAGCCGCCTGTTTATATTAATTGCTTAATCTATGTTAGCACGCTTTGGTATGGCTATCCATTTGTCTTAGACCTACTCTATAAATATACCGAGGAAGAATGGACCGTCAAATTTGATTAAAAGCATATCTTTCCCTGTCTTTTGGCTAAGATCGAATCCATCTCTCTCTCTCTCTCTCTCTCTCTCTCTCTCTGTATGTATGTATATATATGTATGTATATATATACAGAAATGATCTAATGAGCACCGGTGCTCATCTTATCCTAAACACCAATGAGTTGGCACATTAATTCATTGGTGGATTGGAACTCACAAAATCTTTATCCACCAATGAATTAATGTGCCAACTCATCGGTGCTTAGGATAAGATGAG